AAAATCCCACCAAACACTTATCCTCTTTTCTTGCTTTTGTAATCTTTTTCCCCCTTTCTCCTTATTTTCCTCTCCTCTCATTTTCCCTTTTCATTGTTATTGAAAAAATTGATTTCTTTTCCTGTTTATACATTTCCTCATACTTTCCTTAATATTGATTAAATGCAAACGCCTACATGAAAGCACAACGCTCTGGATTGACCTGTCCCTGGTCTTTGTGTGTGTGTGTGTGTGTGTGTGTGTGTGTGAGAGAGAGAGAGAGAGAGAGAGAGAGAGAGAGAGAGAGAGAGAGAGAGAGAGAGAGAGAGAGACTGTATTTGTGCTTCATGTGCCTTGCAAACTGATGCAACACTGCCACCATGTGGCCAGCGGTTCCTCCCAACCTCAAACTCAGGATGCAAGCTGTTTCACACTAGATTTGATCAAAACTTGAGATGAAGTACACAATGTTCAGAGGATGTTTTATTTGATCTGTGTCTCCAGAGTTTCTGGGGAAGCAACAAACTCCCAAAATAACATCCTGCCAATGTGTCAATATTGTATTTTTTGTAGTGTTTGTGTCCTGCACAGGGACTGCAGATGAAAAGGAGCTAGTTGATAAATCTACAACAGAGAAGTAGTAGAAGTATGTCCTAATTCCATACTAAATATTGTGCATACAACATATACTATTATTATATAGACTAATTTTCTTAGTATACTGTTTATGCAGTTAGTATACAAAGATTTATATACTTAACTGTCTTATACTATCAAGAAATTATACAGTGTGCGACAGATGCATCAAACTGCAACTGTAATTACACTGCCTATTAAATTGTTCAAAGAGACAGATTCTTCCATGGAGCTTATCAAAGGGTTGTTTAGTCTGCATACTGACTGTTTTGAAAAGCTGAAACAATTTACGATTTATTGATTAGTTGAGAGACAGAAAAATCAATCTTTAAGTCATTTTTCAACCCAAAATTTCCATTCTCTGGTTCCAGCTTCTCCATTATGATGATTTGCTGTCTTTCTTTGTCTTGTCTTTTTATAACCAAATGATTAATTGATTAAATAACTGGTAGATAATAATGAAAATAATCGTGAGCCCTACAAAATTTAAGAAACAATCAGCACCTCTGAAACTAAAGTGTGTCTTGTGCTTGGTTGACTTTTGATTTACTGTATGTGTCAAAAAACAATATTAACTGCAAAACTTACCAAGGTCCTCTGAACTCTTCTGAATACATATTTTCTTTTGTTCTGACCAAACCAAATGTGTAGAAAAGTATTGAAGTGATAACTGTTCCCTTTGACATAGACTGGGCTTGCACATTTGATGAAGGTGACAAAATACATAAATAACGATAAAGCGTTGCTAATATAATGGAAATATTTAATAATTCATATGCGATGTGGGCTATAGCTCTCATATATACATATATATACATATATAATCCAAATAGACTTTCAGATTTTCAGAGGGGTAGTGCTGCATAACATCCATTTAATTTAACTATATTTTACAGCTACAGACACAAAACAGAAGTCCTTCTGCAGCTTGACATCATTTCAAAATTATGTTAATAAGCGTTTCTCATCAAATTAGGAAAAGTTATGAAGTATCAAGCTGATGAAACAATGTTAAGCATGTTTTTTTAATTGTTAAAGAGGGCCTGGGGTGTGAAAGTCTCCCTACAGAACATTAGTGCTTATGGCTGATAAGTGAGAGCTTATCATGGTAGTATAACAAGATGAGCATGTTTTTACTGCAATACAACTACAAAAAGACACTGTTCACTGTGGTTCATGCCTGGAGCAATTATGTGTCGACAATTTAACTAACCAACACTAAATGTTTTATTGTGCCTTTGTTCTCATCAGCAGTTACATGCTCATGCTTTCTTGTCTTAGTAAAGAGCCCCCAGGATACACATGGATTATACATAAAACGCCCTTCAGCGAATACGCTGAACTAACATGAATATTTCAATCAGCAGCACTTAGGGGTGACACAGTCATCGGGAGATGGAGGGGCACAATAAAGCCGACATGACAACTGAGCTGTGTGACACGCCTTCAGGGTATTTATGGTCAGTGACTCAGGTAGCTCTTTTTTGCATTTGTAGAAAATATATAATAATGTGGTTTTTTTATAGAACAAAAGGGCAAAGTAAAGTTGCAAAATACATCAGAGAACAACAGATAAAAAAAAGACTGAAGCCCAAAATAATCAGCCAAAACAATGAGCCAAAAAAAGACACATTAAGACCAATTAAAGATGGATATAACAGAGATGTCTATGAGTACAAAATGCAGTAAAATAAATATATAATAATGTGAATTTAGGAGTAACTGGAAGGAGGACTCTGAAGATGCTGGCAAGAACTCCTCTGGCAGCCAATATTATATTTATCTAGTCCTTTTAATCCATGAAGCATTTCAGTTCTTTAGACACAGGGTGGAAAAGGCGCAGAAAGATCCAAGGTTAAAGCAAATGCAAATTTTCAACAAGACGTGTGTTTTGGGAGATGTAGATACATTTCACATGCAAACAAATGCATGCTTTAACTATGGGAATTGAAAGGGTCAAAACAAACTGCTCCACTATTTGCCAAAGTGTGTATTACTTCCCTGAACTTCACTTTCTCTATACTTTGAAATCCAGCACACATTTTAGAGTCACCAGACAAAAAAGAGACAACTTCATCTCCCCACAGGACAAAAGAAATTAGTCTCTGTCAACTTTATCCCGAGACATCTGACGTAAAGTTGAAAAAGCTGCACAAATTTTGGCTTGCATGACAGAGTCTACGTTCCAACACAGCGATTGGCAGCTGGACTTGTGGGCACAGTGTCTTCCTACCTTACACGAGGAGAAAGTAAACAGCAGCTGTAGCACCCAAAGGGCTTCAGGTGGAGCCATCACCATCCTCTCCTCTCCTTCAGATCTCCCTAGTCTTGACCCAGGTTTGGCTCACTGCAGGCATAAAAAAAAAAAAACACATGCTGTGACCCTGCAGAGCAAGAGACTACAACGTCTACTTCAGGTACCACTGGGGACTGTACACCTTCCTTAGTTAGCCTCGGGGTTATGGACTGGAGTAGTTACAGAATCCCCTCCGGCTGTGGAAGAAGAACACAGTCCTGGTATTGGCTGCAAGCTGAGGAGAGCCACACAGATGCCAACTGGAGAGGACAACTGTCATAGAGAAGGTGAAAGAGGAGGTGTAGGGAAGGAGGAGTTGGAGAAAAGGATGATTATCTGTTACGTCAACACAGGCAGTGAGTTACACTTTGTTAACGGGCGTGTGGGTGCAGATTGCATGTGAGACGTCACTGTTTGGCCTCACAAAGTCACGCTGTAGAACTAGAAAAATTGCATTATATTCATGATAGATTGATGGTTCAAGTAAAAATATCGAACTTATGTGATAATAAATGTATTATTTTTGGACGGTTGTTAAAACAAAACATATTTTTAAGACTTTTCACATTTTACACGTTAAACGATTGATTGATAAAGAAAGTACCAACTGCAAAACCAATCCGTTTCAGGAATATAAACATGTTTTTTATGTAAAATGTTTTCTGAACAAAAGCAGCCATACAGGAACTTTGCCTAAATAAATACTAGCAAAATCATGATTTAAATTTTTGATAAAAGAATAAATATTAAGAGTATGAATCAGTTTTTTTATACTCTGTGCTCTGGACACATTTCAATCACTGTTTATGTTTATGCTCCTGGTTATATATGCATGGTAGGCTATGTGTGATCATCATCCTGAGTTGAATGAAATGAAATGAATAACTTACCCATCCCTAGACCAGCGATCATAAATTGATGTCAAAATGATGAAAAAGCAATAAAAATGACTATAGGTTTGAATATCCACGCTAGCAACCCCTCTAGGCTGCATTGCTCATTCATTAAAGATCACAGAGTGAAACTACCGAATGCACATAAAAAATATAACATAAAGACAACGTTTCTATTCTCAGATCACCAGAATAAAGGTCATGTTGTTACACAAATTAAAATGGTTTAATCTGAATGTTTCTGTCACTTTGAGCTGTAAATTAGCCAACATTATCCGCCAGATAATAACATAATACATTGTGTTTATATTGTCATGTTTTCAGTGGTATTATTTAGTCATAATATGTTTAATATTAATGTTATTCAGATATTGTTTTTAAAAGTATAATTAGAACTAGTAATTGCACAGAATGTCAGTTTGATTCAGTATTTATTATTATGAGTACATTTGACATGAAATTAACATTAGGAAGATATTATTAAATATTATTAATAATATCCGAATATGGAAATTACACTGGTATTGGCTAATCTGTTCTTTAGCTAACTGCTAATGCTGACATCTTAATATGTTAGCATGGTATTAAGTTGACCTCCTGTTGGCGGCTGTCTGAAGTCAGAAACTCTTCAATAAGATTATTTCAATCTCCCAGGATCATAAATGTCATCAAATAGCTGTGGAGATATTTCACTTATTTTACCAACATTGCTATCATTAGCCATTTCACCAATAATCAGTGGCTTAAAACAAAACAACTGATAAAACTTCTTCCTTTAACCTTTCTCTCAGCTTTTGTATTATCTCTCTATCTCTCTCTATCTTCAGTAACTGAAAAGGTATTAGTTATTAAACAGTGTTGGACCAACAATGTCTTCCTGACACCGCTGGGTTGAAGCTCTGAGTACAAATATGCAGATCCCCATTGAAGCTCCCACCCCAGGTGTAGTTAGTTAGCCACCATGTGACTGACTTCCACGTCATCTATATTTCATAGCTGAAAATGAGCGGCTAAACACTCCTGAATGAGCTGCGTTCATCTGCCTCAACTCATCAAAAATTCAGCATCACTGGAAATGTCTCTGTTAGATGTACTGCAGATGTAAGGTTAGCAGCAGGGGAAGAGAGAACAGAAAAAGACTGGGGAGGGATAAGGGTCAACACAAGGCAGTGAATGAGGGAAGACTGAGGCTGGGAGAGAATATATGAATGGTTTATTCTCGAGCTGCAGCACTCACGCCCAAGCCTCTTTAATATTATGTATATAGTGGAAATCTCGCCAACCACAAAGTCAGTTCTCTGCCAGAAAATGTAATGTCTTTGACTCATTTGAAGATAAAAAAAAGCAAGTGGTTGTTTATTTTCATTTTGTGTATTTTGTGCGTGCTGCTAACCTAATAAACAACGTATTCCTGCCTTTATTTAAAGCCATCCTGACAATTTAAACTCCCCATATTCTGCACTTACAAAAAGCACTTTGGAGTGGCTTTTAACTGGAACTCAGAGCACATTACGTACATTTTATTATTCCTCCACCAGCCTCCAGTTGATTTAAGAATATAATTTAATATTTTACTGATCAATTAGGAGTCATTAAATGGACTGGCCCTAACCTATTCTTTTGACCTTTTCCAGATAAGGGTGCTCAAGTAGCCATTTGGTCTGTTGCCACATCACTCTACTTCTAATGCGCTTCACTAAGAATTCTAATTGACATTATTATATGTGGTCATCAACATCATAACCATATCAAAAATGTTGAATGGTAGAATGGACCAAATGCAGATCTTACAAGACAATGCAACAACATGCAGGTATAGTGTCTACTATGTTCACCATCTCAGTTTAGCATGTTAGAATGATAACATTTGCTAGCACCAAGCAGAAGTGTCATTAGTTTTATAGATTTTGGGTCATAAACTGAAGTACAGTGGCCCAGAATGAACAAACCAAACACTGTAGATAGGGATTTCAATGCCATCGTAGTTTCTCCTACACATTTCACAGCTCTTTCTCATTTCCAGGTCGTCAAATCGGACGCGAGCAGTGTTCAGTTAGTACTGCCAGATGCCCCTAAATCCTACACACTGGTCCTTTAAGAGATCATCAGTTATTACAATTCAGGGAAAGTCATTAGGATCAATCCTCTCTGCGCCATTAACGTACCAAAGTTAATGACAATCCATGCAATAGTTGTTGAGACTTTAACTAAAATACAAAAATGTCAACCTCATGTTAACCCTAAAGGGAAAAAACGGGGGGATCACTTAAATCAGCAGGCTTCATCCTCTGGGGACTATGGATGTCAAATTTCATCCAGTAGTTGTTGAGATGTTTCAGTTTCAGCCAGTCAAAGTGGTGAGCTGACCGACATTGCCATCCCTAAAAATAGCTTTTAATTGACGTGCATTGTACTGTGTGTAGTCGCCAAGTGTCCTGTAACAATAGTAAGAAAAGTGCTGTATGAATATGAGATCAAAGTACAGACCTCAAAAAGAGCACACTGTAGGGAATTCCTGGTTGGAAAGCAGCAGATGGCGTGTCTCTCGGCCCCTCAAAGCCTGTCTTTGTTGGCTTTGCCTGACAAACGCATTCAATAAAACTAAATCTCATCATATTAATTTAAAGGTACATTATGTACTTTTATTCAAATATGTTACTCAGTCACTTCCCCACACAACTATGCATAGAAAGACCTTGAGGCAATCATGTACCACAGTTTGGTTTGTTATGTTGAAAAAATATAAAACACGGCTTCACAATATAAAAAAAAATGCACTGCCCCAGTTCCCTTTTACATAGAAATGTACTCCGCAAGGAGCTACATAATAGCACCGTGATGAATTACACGCCAATATACATTACATAACAGATAATTATAACAACAACATGAGGACAACAAACAAAATAAACACAACAAATTGAGGTTTGATGATAACACAGAACAACATGGTGGATGAATGTTGCTGAAATATGGTATTTTTGTATTTCTGAAGATGATTCACTGATCATATTGTGTAGAGACTTGTGTATGATTATGTATAGATGAGAATTGAGTGCATAGATCAATAAATGTATGAACAGACATAAATGAAACTGTAAGAGCACCACTCACTCCTTCAAAGAATGACAGAAAAAGAAATGTGTGTAACAGGAAATGGTTGACGATCTATAAATGTACGAACTGCTTTTGAAACAGATTCTCAGTTGTGAGAACGTATAAGATGAATAAGATGACTTTATGAATGAATGAATGTCTGTATAAAGAATGTTTAGATGAAGGAACACTGTTGTAGGTAAATCGACTTATAAATATGTTGCAACAGGTAAGTCTTGAATGTAGTTTTCTCCCTGCATGTAAAAAGTGTCCATGGCTCTTTTTCCTATTAGATTACTCCTGTTGTAATCTCCCCCGACTTGGTTAACCGTTGTAGCAGACTGGGCCAACCTGGAAACCAAATTTCTGGTTCCCCTTCCCAAAGTCAGGCACAGACACGTCGAGTATGGGGAGTGTTGTGGACAGTGGAGCGTCAAATTCCAATACCGTCCTCTCTTGACCCGAGCGCGTCTACAGCGGAGAAACACAATCAAACAATCAGTAAAACAAACAAATGTATGTGAATGTGTTCACACTCAAATGTGTATCTTTTTAACTCACCTGACACCCGTCGTACAGTGCACTGATGTAATGTGTGTTCTCATGTGTCAGCTCCTCTCCGTTGCTGCCTCTGAAGCGCAGTGCGTGTTCGTGGCCGTAGGTGGCGATGTGCAGCCAGGCGGCGGAGTTGAGGCAGTGGTAGGTGAAGGTCTGCTTGGCTGACGCACTCAGCAGCTGCAGGAAGGTCAACTGGACCACGTGGACTGGATCGCCTTCCGACCCGGAGTAGGAAAACTGGAGAACACCAGAATCATACACACATATAAACGTACACAGAAAGGTAGTTGTGTACACATTTAAACCTATAGTAGAAAAACAGACCCAGTAATGGAAAACACAGGCAACGTCTCAACTCTACAGCTGCCTCAGTTGGGTTTATTTTTGTCCCTTTCAGCCCCATCTTTACTGCCATTCTCCACCTGTCCACCAGATGCCCTCAGACTTTCACCATCAAAAGTGGTCACCTGATCTGTGTCTCATTCCCCAATCAACCTGTCAGTACATATACCATATTTCCAGTGCCAGATCTTCAATGTTGCGTTGTGCCTTTGCGTTCCAGCCACCTGAACCTGAACCCTTTCTGTACCTGCACCCTTTACCAGCCCAATTCCTGTTAATCTGTGGATTCTCGACTACCTGTGTTTGGACTTGCTACCCTTGCCTGTAAGCTTGTGTATCCTGACTTTAACAAAAAAATCACTGAACTGTTCCTGCCTGCCCCATTGTCTGCATCTGGGTCCCTTTTTTACTTACTGCCTCGTACACACCTGCTTAAGAAACCTGAACCTTTATATCATAATTTGTGGGAATACACAGTAGGCCTATATCTCAGCAGTTGGTTCACTTCTGTAAAGAAAGGTAAATTTAAATAAATGGACAAGCACCAGGGAAAAGGAAACACTGAATTTGTCCAAAAAAAGCCTATAAGTCTTCAGTAAGTGTATGATTGTTAAAAAAAATATACAAATACATAATACAGACAGATAATTGTATAAAAAGGTAAATAAATAGAAAAGAATCTGTTCAAAACTCATCCAAATCACACAATCTTCTTGCAGTTACCGAGTTCACTATTTAGGTTCATTGTATAGTTGAGTGTAGTTTAGTTTAAAGTGAATATAATATGAAATATACATAAAATGTGTCACTTAGTCAGGGGCCATCAGTTTACTAAATGACAGAAAAGGGTTCCCTTGAGGAAAAAGGTTGGGAACCACTAGACCAATCAATAGACTGACATATGTGCAACACATTTTTATTGTGCAGCATAAAAACAAACTGCACAACATTCAACCAATCTCACTTGGTAGAAAGTAATGGTGCCAATTAGCAGCTTTTGTCAACCCCCAATATATTGAACATGTTAATCATTACTGTCATTTGTTTGTTGTTTTACTGTGAACTCCTCTTACTCTTCGTTGATGCAATTTTCTTTATATGGGGAATGTTTTTCAATACTGCAACCACTGATTTTAATTGGTAAAAGACTTATTTTAAAGCTCATAAAACTCTAAAAGGACCAGCACCTGTCTTTCTTCAGGCAGACAGCAGTTCCTTTGCTGGAGCAACATATTTCTGATCTACTCTTTGCCTGGAGCCATCCTCGCACAGAACTCAACGAGAGTATTCTGTGTGCTCCTCTGTGCTGGTCTAAGCCCTGGGAGAGATCTGGACTGCAGAATGCCTTACTATCTCCACATACAGATACTCATCGATCTCCACTTTTTAAATAACATGGTGTTTTGTTTTACTAGTAGCTTTTATTGTGGTAATTTGTGCCCTTTACCTAACAAGCACTTACTGTAGCACTTCTTTCTCTTTCTCTTTTGCAATGCAGTAACAAGGACGGAAACCCTCACCGGCTCTTTGAACAGCCAGTTTTATCAGTAGGATCCACAATAAGCTGGATGTACAACATAGTACTCCAAAGTGCCCCGATTCGAGAAACACTGCGTTAAGGGGTTTCAGTTGGTCTGCAATCTCACCACTAGATGTCACTATAAATCCTACACACTGGTCCTTTAATAAAATGCTGAGTGTCTTTCTATAACTGACTAATTATGCCAATTAGTATATAACCAAATATGTCTCACATTTGTAGCAGTGTTTATACTTTACTCCACTATTTTCACATTTGATGCGTTGTATAAAAACACACATTGGCATACATTGCACATGCACAATCACAACACTATACCTGTTTTCCTTTCCTGAATTTACTGTACCAGGTGCCAGGCTTTTCCCCCTTCCAGGCTGCTAACTTCACCTGATGGCAAACAAACAAAAAAAATCAGCTTCAAGTTCACTGAATCAACATACAGATGATGAAACAATGATTAATCTCTTTCACCAGAAGTCTTTCACCAAAGGCTCCTGTTAGCTTTGAACGATTCATCAAATTCTCAAGGAAATGTGCGTGTGTTTGTGCATGAAAACTAACCGACTGGAACTTCTTGTCAGGGTACAGACATGTCTCTCCTTGTGCGGTGAAGTTACAAAACACCTTGAAGGAGTCTCTATGGCAACCCTGGTTGGGATCTATCCAGTATTCACCTGGAGAGAGGGCAGAGAGGTAATAAAAAACACAAGGCTAATACAACTGTCTACAACAAAAGCACCAAACAGAGAAACATGACACAGATACAGATGACAGTAGACAGAAAAACCGACACACAGACAGGCAGGTAGAAAGATGGGCAGATAAAATGAGTGTAGACATGCAGGCAGACCGTTGTGATAAACAAATGGCCACCGATACAAACTGATATGTACCATTGGGGAGCTCTGGGTGGAGGAGGTAGAGCTCCTTGCAGGTGCGGGCGGGGCTGTGGTACGTCCCTTGTGGGTTACGCAGCCCCTCCACCTCTACTTTCATAGAGGACAGAGAAGCAAACACTTCCTCCATGCCTTGGCCCTCCTTGTCGTTCGTCAAACTGCCCTGCTCCGCCTGGTCCCCTTGCATCCATTCCTCCTCCCCTCGATCTATTGCCTCCCTTTCCTCTTCCTCCTCTTCAACTGCAGCACCATCCACCAAGGTGTTGGTTCTCCTTCTCCGTCCTCGCTCTGGCAGAGGGGATATCCCAATTGCTGGGGATCCCTGATGAGAGGAGAGGAGAGGAGATAGAAACAGGGGGTAAGGAGAGCAGGAAACGTTGATTAAGTTTTTACTGTTAATGAGAGTTGGATGGTTGTTGGATGTACTGAATTTCAGTAAGCAGAACTCACTCGTGGTCCTGGAGGTCCTGCAGGCCCAGTGTCTCCTCTGGGACCAATTGGACCCTAAATACAGAGAAAGAGATCAATTTAAGGTGGTAGAGAGGTATAAGGCTCCAATGTGACAGTAGTGAACAATCCAATAAAACAAAGTTATTACAGTTACCTGGTTTCCTTTAGAGCCCTTTGAACCAATAGCACCCTGTGAGAGAAGTAAAGAGTTAAAGATAAGATGAACAATGCCCCAGTGATCCTGATGGTAACAATATTGTCATGTACATTTTTGCCTGTGCTGTCAAGATTATCTTATATACTCACAGACAGACCCGTGGGGCCTGGAGGACCGTGGGGACCTGGTGGACCAACTGGACCCTGATATAAACATGAAAGGAACAAAACTGTCACACAAAGAGAACAAGTTGATCTGCTGAAGGCAACTGCAACAAATAAAAATGTTGTTTTTTAAAAAAAATACAGAATATCACCAGCCTTATCTTTTCAAAATGGATTAACCTGAAAAGATTTACTAGGGGCCTCTATCGACCCACTTTCTCCTTGTTACTACCACCAATCAGTGTTAGTGGAATAATTTGCCTGGCTGGTAATCCAGGCTTGTGTGACTCTGTTTGTGTATATTTTCAGCACCTCATCTCCTTTTGGACCCGGCAGTCCCTGGTTTCCTGGCAGTCCTCTATCGCCCTTCTCTCCAATGTCTCCTGGTGGCCCTATCAGACCTATTAGACCACCATGACCCTGCAGAGATTTCACAAATGAGCACAAGGTCGAAGTCAAGGTCAGGGTGGATGTTTGTGTGTGTACACTATATACGCACCTTGTCTCCCTTCTTGCCATGGTCTCCCTTTAGTCCTGGTAATCCTGGTGGACCCTGAGAATATGAAGTTATGATGAGTTCACACACAAGTTAAAATGTAGTAAGTGTATATAAAAACTCATTCATTTACCACTCCGACAGTCAAGGATATGAAATGAGTGTTTGATTATACTGTCCACAAAGTGTGAATAAAATGATTTTCTTTTCCCTTAATGTCATTGGAATAGTATTTTATTTTCCCCATTATGTTCTTGATTTGATGAGCCATCTTACCATGGGGCCTGGGGGACCTGTCTGACCAGGTGGTCCATTTAATCCCTGCTCACCCTGAGAGAAAGACACAGACAGAAATAATTACAGTAAACCCTCCATCTTTTTTATGCTCCACTTCCACTGCTCAATTCTTTACTGTCTGACTTACTGCAGGGCCGGGGATCCCTCTTAAACCTTGAAGGCCAGGTTTCCCAGGGTGTCCCTGGGCACCTACGGGCCCTGTCTTCCCTATGGGACCCTCCAAACCGGGAGCACCCTGAAAGACACGGAGAACAGGGTCACCTTCAGAAGCTGTCGGCATTCAGCTATTATTATTCAAAGAGTTGTTTCTAACTCTCACTTTTGCTCCTTTCAGGCCCGCCTTTCCTTCCTTCCCTGGTTTTCCCAAGTGACCCTGAAGAACAGAATTTTAAAACATTTTAACCTGAATGTGTCACACAGATGCACACACACACTCACACACACACTGACAGACAGTGAGAATGCGTCAAGAAAAATACCCTCAACCTCATCCGAACAGGGGAAGAGGATTTAATCTTTAACTTAATCAAACAGGAGATAGAAAAATAAGTGTATCAGAGGTGAATGCAGGCACTGACACACTAACACAAAAACACACAAACCCTTCGTCCAGGAGGTCCAGATGGTCCAGGTTCCCCTGCTGCTCCTGGTGGTCCCTGAGAAATATAAAATGAATATTATATGGCCAGTCATTGAATTGTACGATGACAGCATGAATTAAAAAATATCACAGTGTATGATGTAGAAGAGAGGAGCTTACAGAATTCCCAGGGTCTCCTGTGTCTCCTTTAGACCCGGGCAGACCATCCACACCCTGATGAGGAGAGAAAAATAGTTGGCAGAGGAAAACTACACTTATTTTCCTCCAGAAAATAAAACTGAAGATATCTTTATGGCAACATGAAAGCTTTTAATGTAGAAAACCTCAATTTATAGTGATTTGCCAATACTGGTACAAGTTTGAGACATATCATAGAAGAGCAATAAAAGTGCATTATATTATACTTGCCAGAGATAGCAGTTCTTAAATAGACACATGAGAACCTTTGATTTAAATGTAAATGTTTAGCTTATTCCATATTTCCTCCAACCATTGTTCCTTAAAAATCTTTAATAATTCCTGTATTTAAACACAGTCAGAAAGTCAAAATATTGTGGCGATATAGCTAAAAACAAACAAAATAATATGTTTTATTATTTATCTATTTATTGTTTATTTGATAGGGACAGATATAGTAAACATAGCCAGGCTGAAAACAGCTATCTGATGCAAGTATCATAGTGTTTAAAGCACATGCTAATTTCCAAACACCCATCCCTAGAAAGACTTTGCTCTGGCAATCAGATATTTTCATAACTGCCAAAATAATTTTAATTAGAGATGAAGAAGAGGAAGATGAAGAAGGGAAAGAGGCAACGCATAGAAAGAGCAGGCACTCACATTGGGTCCGGCCTCTCCCTGCTGTCCGAGGTCCCCAGTGAGACCTATAGGACCCTGAGGAGAGAAAGCGAGAGCTTGAGCTAACATAGCAAAATAGGTTGTAAAGCCTTCATTTGATGCCTTTTAGGCTGATTATTTTACTTGAAAAATCATTGCAATAAAGCCTTACCTCACTTATACCTAAACTGCACTCTGCTTTTGGATAATGTTCATGGAAGAAAGTGTGTTCTTTCAGTTTCTTGTCCATTATTACTACTTTGTTGAAGATCAAAGGTCAAATGATCAAATCACTGACTAGTCCAAATCTGAGGTGGCAGTTACTGTTAGATAGGATAGTTAGCTTTTAGAGTTATTTTCTCCATTATGGTCTCTTTTTTCATGTAGAGAATATCAAACTGAATGAGATGTCCTTTGATCAATACTTTTCTTCAGATAACAGCTTAGAAAACTTCTGCTTTAGCTTTAGCTGAGGCTAAAAGAGTTATCTTTCTCTCTCCGTGTGTGGTAGAGAGTGCAGTAAATTGAACAGCAGTAGTTGGAGTTCAGAGATCACCAAAGCCAGAGTGCACTTACTGCAGCCTGTACAGCAATACAAAGCCAAGTTTGCCTCGGGGTTTAGCTCGGTTTTGTAATTAGTGCAAAGTTTTATTTTTCATCATGTAAAAAGAGATGTCAAAATATCAGATTCAGGTCCTAACTCAATTTGAACCAAATAAGTAGTTACTGTGTTTCGCCTTTCTAAGACAAGTATGTTGTATGTTGTATGTATGCATTAGTATAATGTAGGTTAAAAGTGTATTACACTGTTTTGTGTTGCATGGTATTGTACAGTATATAACAGTACAATACTGAAGAGCAGTTTATTCAAATTTCTCACAGAGTTGCCCTTGGCTCCATCCTCCCCTGTGGGGCCCCTGGCTCCTGGAGGACCAGCTGCTCCTGGAGGGCCCGTATCTCCCTTCTCCCCCTGGTCTCCTTTTGCTCCCTAAAGTCACAAAGGAGCAGAGTGATTGATTAGGAGTGCTGGAGCAGAGGAGAAGAGCAAGAGAAGCTTAAAACGTGAAGATGGCGGAAGCAAGTTTGAAGACGTCTTTGATCGAGATGTGCCCCCCAAAAAAAAAAAGATGCCAAACTCACTAGCCTTCCTGGAACACCGACTGAACCTGGATCACCTGCCTCACCATCCTCCCCCTTAGAGAGAAAGAAACTATGAGTAAAATATTCATGGAAACAGTATTTGTTTTTGGAAGGAACATGTATATATATATGCTGTCAAATTCTTTACCTTCTCTCCAACAACACCTGGCTGTCCTATCATCCCAGGTCGACCTGTTTGACCCTGAACAAACAGAGGAAATCACAGTATTTCTTCACAATTCAAACCAAGTGGTCGAGCACTTGGTACATGAGGATGTATGAATATTACTGTAAGACTTACCTGTCCGCCAATAGGTCCTTGAGGACCATTGGGGCCTTGTTGGCCAGGTGGACCCTAAAACCACATATGTAATGTTGGAAAATAACGTCAGTTTATGAATTTATGTAAATAAAGGAACAATGTGATGTAAATGAGGGAGATATAAGCTCACCATTAGTCCCACATGTCCACTCTCACCCTTCTCCCCTGGGAGGCCGGGCATGCCCTTGAAAAACACACACAGAAGATTAGAGGATTAAAGTGAAGAGCTCCAAGTTCACTCCATCTATTCAGAAGACGATCTGCACCCTGACTGCTGTACAAATCTCACCTGTAATCCTATTGGTCCTCTAGAGCCCTTGAAGCCACGGAGTCCCTCATCTCCTTTTGGACCGTACATGCCCTGCTGGCCCCGGGGACCCGGCAGTCCATCTACACCCTGTTACACAGAGGAAACTGAGGAATGAGTTTCTTTATTATTTTTAAAGGTTCATTGTGTAGGATTTAGTGCAGTCTAGTGGTGTAATTGCAGATTGCAACCACTCGCAAAAATCTAGGCCCTATCTGGAGTTTTTGGTTTGGCGGCTGCATGGAAGGTGACCCCAGTCAACCTCCCCTTTCAAGCATGAAGGAGATACTGCGGTGATACTGTATCTCGTTAAATCTGTACAAAAACTTCAATGTAAATGTATATGGGGACTTATTTATTGGTGTATCTCTTTGGGTAGCCTGGTTACCTCACGGTGTATGTATGCCCCCCTAAAAGCAACTGAGATAAGATTTTAATACGTGGGCCTTCAAGGTGCTGGTTTATGGTAAACTAAGCTAACTGTCTTCTGCCTGTGTCTTAGTATTTAACAGACGGACACAAGAGAGATATCACACCTCTTTTCTAACTTGCTACAAGAAAGCAAATAAGCATCGATCCTGATCGCTTTCAGGTCTTTTAGTTTTCAAAACACTGAACAAATTCAAAGAATACAAATGGCAGAGCCAACTCACTGGAAGTCCTGGCTGACCAACCAGTCCTTGAGTGCCAATGGGGCCTGGAGGGCCCTGTGGAGAAAAAGAGAAAAACATTCAGACACGATCTACTCTAGTTATAGAGTACAGTCCTCATTGAGCTCCAGACTTACTCCTTCTCCTTTGTCTCCTTTGCTGCCTTTCTGCCCAGGTAGCCCCTGCTCTCCCTGTCGACACACACACAGAGGACACGCAATTTATGACCACAGTACAAACACACACTCGCTTTCTGACTCTCTGACTCACAGACACACACAGTTTACCTTATCCCCGTCGTCTCCCGGAGGTCCTGCAGGGCCTGCAGCCCCAGGCATCCCTCCAGGTCCCTGATCTCCATCCTGACCCGCTGGTCCAATTGGACCCTTCTCTCCCTGAAAACACAAACACATTCAACGCGTGTTATTCTGCATTCAGGCAGCAGCACAGAAAATTAAAAAACACAACTCATCCACATTTATATTTCCTAAGAGATTCTGTTTCCATCAGTACTGGTCAGGAATTTTTGCTTTATTTGCTGAAAGTATAAAAGAGTGTCAGTGAAGTGAATGAAGTCCAATGGGAAGACATAATAAAAGATCCACTAAATAAGGTCATGTAGAAAGCCAGATGTAATTACAGGCTCGCCCTTCTCTCCCATTGGTCCAGGTCCTCCAATTGATCCGCCCCGACCAGGTTGTCCGATGGCACCTGCTGGTCCTGGAGAGCCCCTCTCACCTGTCGACCCCTACAGAAAGGACATGGCCATTAAAAGTGACTGAGGCAATGAAGACTACAAATGGATGCAAAAACCTGCTGGAATCATAATGTTGTTTTAAACTGGTTTCAATTATGAGACAGAAGAAAACAGTTTAAAAGATGTAAATATTTTATGTGAATTTGTTCAGTGGAAATCAGTTGATCAGTGTACTGAAAGCATATGCAGCTGAAGACATGCTTTCAGTTCACAAACAAAAAACAGATTTAGAAGGCATCCTGAACATGAACTGCAGCAACAAAGGACATGTATTGTAACTCACTATGGCTCCTGAGGATCCAGTAGGTCCTGATCCTCCTTTCAGACCAGGAGGTCCCTGGAAAGATCACAAATAATTGTATTTGATATATCAAATTTATATATATATATCAATTTAAATAATGCGGTGAATAAATATTCATTGAAAATGTCGAGGTTAACAGAAAAAAAATTCCAATGTGGTCTTCTTTCCAGGAAGACAGAGGTGGTAATACAAGTCACAGATGACTAACACTGACAAGTGTGGTGTATGTGTATTTGTGTGTGTGTTACCATAATTCCAGTGGCTCCTCTGCTCCCCCTGAACCCTTTTAGCCCTGTAGGGCCATTTTTCCCTGATGTTCCAGGTAAACCTGGATCGCCCTGAGAAGAAGAAGAGAGGATGAAAAAAAAGTACAATCAAAACACAAATGATGACTCTTGACGATGACAATCAGTGTTTATAGGCGAGGGACTGTGTGGACCCACCTTTCCACCTTCCTTCCCAGCAGCACCAGGTAAACCATGCTCTCCAGGTACACCTGGTGCCCCTGGGTGACCACGGTCCCCTGTTGGACCGGGCTCACCTGATTTTCCCTGAAACACACAAAAGCAATTGGGTCAATTACACCAATACATACATGAGGCACAAGGCAGGAGGAAATGTTACATAACAGAACTGATTCCCATCGTTGAGCTCACCTGTGGCCCCACAACACCTGAGGGTCCTGGGGGTCCCGTTTTCCCTTGGAATCCCTGCAATCACAGAAAAACATGGCTAGAAAACATTCTGGTGTGTGTGGTGAAGACCGTTTCTCAAAGAAAAGGTACCTTATGACCTCTCATGAAAAAAAGACCGCACTCACCGGCTCTCCTCTTTGACCTGGGTGACCTGGAAGTCCGTCCTTCCCAGCAGGACCCTACAAACACACATACACGCATCCATACAGACCCCACAGACACAAACAAATATACCAAGACCAAGATGAGAAATTAAAGCGATCTCAGGATAAAAACTGACCTCAGAGTACCAATTTTATTTTTCACTCTGCCAGGATTTTATTAATTGAGCTGTCAAATATTTAAATATGAATGCAGAAACTGTCCCCTGCAGGCCACTACAAGTGATTCATAGCAGCATGTGATGAGGATTTTTTTCCCCCAGAGCATTCTCAGTCAGTAGAAATTTTATCAGTAAATGACAAAGTACAACACGTGAAGCAGTGAAATATTGCCACCACAACAAAATACCACTGCCACCCAATGAAACAACATAAAACATATAATGGCAATCCCTGACACCTTAGATATTAGATACTCGCTTAGAAGTCGCACTCATCTATTTACAAAATGTATTTTATGGTAGATTGTGCTTTAACTAAGAAGGCTGGGAAATTAATATTCTTGTTCTTGGTTTGTTTCTGTATTCAATTTTTTAATTTTAGTTTATATGTTTTTTTAGCTAAAAACATATAAAAAGAATTTCTCAAAAAGTAATAAAGTGGTTTGGGGGAAAAAAGCAATAGAAGATAGATTAGCTGTATAAAGTATAACTATTTATCTGAGAAATGATCCATCGTTGTACAATATGTGCAAGTGTGCTATGCAAATGTAGCATTTCGTATTTAAATTATTTGTCACAAAAATAGGAAGACTGGGTGGAGCGGAGTGATCAAGTGAATCTTTATGCTGATACACACAATTACAAATAAATATTGTCTGAGTAAACATTTCTAAATATGTGTCTGTGTGTGTTTGTCATAACTCACGCTCGATCCTTTAGGTCCTGGCTCTCCATTCCTTCCTTGAGGCCCTTGAGGTCCCTAAAAAAACATAACCAGTCAATGTAACAGGTGATTACTCAACTAAGCAATCAATTAATAATATTACCAGCGTTTTTCTTACCCTGTCTCCAGGAGATCCTGGGGGCCCGTCATGTCCTGAGGTGCCCTGTGAAAATGTAAGAGGGAGGAAGAACATGGAGGTGGTGACGGATAGCAAGTGGTGAAGCACAAATAATAGTGTAAGTGAATTCACCCATCAACAATGACCGACGGGGTGTCACTATTGGCTGAGAGGAGAATCAGCTGACCTTTTCTCCTGATTTCCCTGTTGGCCCTTTTGCCCCTCTGGCACCTCGCGCGCCCTGGCATAGAAGAAACATGAGTGAGACCAAACACAGGACAGCCATGAACTTTTACTGACCTGACACAGAAGGTGTTTGGGACTTATTGGGCTACTGGTTCAGTGGACACTGGGGTGACTCAGTGATATGCAATGTTGTGACAACAAATCCCAGGTATATTGTGAAAAGGTTGGAAAAATATAAATTGTTCAGATGGTTTAAACATACAAAAACACAAAACTGACATATTATTATCTTAATATGTACGTTATGTACGTTAATACGCCTCTCTGTCCACTGCTGCTCTCTTCCTGTCCACCAGATGTCCTCCTTTCCCCATTACCTAACCTTCCCCGCCCTCCTGTTCCTACCTTTCCCATCAGTCATCCAGAGGCTACTACGAAGCAAGTTCAGCATACTCGGGATATGTTTTTGATATCTCGCTTCACTAAGCCAGACAACCGCAATCACGCTAAGTGGTCACACAATGGTGGTTATCAAGACAGTAAGTCAATCCAGCGTTTCCAAGTCTAACCATGAGTGTGTTCACTTAAAGGGGGTGGTGGCAGTCTGGCATATTTTACAAACGAAGCACAAACTGTAATATTAGACAAATAGGAAAAAGTTAAACACACAATTCAGGGTAAAAACAACACAGTTGCAGCTGCCAAGTGCAGGAAGGACAGCTGGCAAAGCAAATCGCCGCTTATGTAAATGCATAAGTTAATAGGCTTATAATATCACTGCCACTGACTATAAAACCATTTGTTATATTTTTATCATCTTTTATTTTATTCAATTTCAGTATATTTTATTATTTCTTTACTCTTTGCACAACATTCCCCTTTACTGCTGTGCCAAATTTGAATTTCCCCTGTTGGGGATCAATAAAGGAATATCTTATCTTGTGTATTCCATTAAATGAATGTGTTGCTAAGATGTATTCTCATGGCATGTATGAAAATTTTAGTCTTATCCTTTCAGCTGCAACCCCGGCGGTGTGAAACAGACTTTGGAGCAAATAAAAAATAAATATAAAAAACATAATTCAAAGCAGTGAGTGGGCTTACTTTCTAATCTAGTACAACAAGTACAAGACTTCACACTTTAGTGCTTAAGTCAGTCTCTGTTGTAACTTGATATCGGTATACATCACCCAGTGCATACATAAAAATACCTGGAGGAAAATAATGCAAGGTAATACAGTCAGTGGGACTGTAGTATACGACTCTGATGTGTCGCATGGGCAACACAGGATTTAAGAAGCTGACACAGATAAGTCAGTTCCTCTGATGAGAATCTAGATCTCTCATTTAAAAAATAGTCAGGGAAAGCTAAAGGGACCCTCTGATGATCAGCTCACATGGCTCCACGGGATCTTCTCATGGATGTATTATTTGAAATTAGTTCTTATTTATATACATCCATGGATCTTCTACAAGTTGTAACACTTTGGGTGCACTGGGAGAGCTCACGTCCCAGCAGCGGCTTGGGTTCAAATCCAACCTGTGAGACTTTTCTGCATGTTACTCCCCCTCTCTCCCCCTTTACAAGTCATCTGAAACTGTTCAACCAAATAATCATTGTAACACTGTAAACTCAATGAAGGCCTCAGATATTTAACCACCCCATTTTCATTCAAAACTTGTCAGTTCATCCTAGTTGTATTTTATTGGTTTCTGGCTTTACTGTCTGTCATCTCTATGTTTACCTGGATCTGTATCTACCTGCCTGCCTGTCTGTCTGTCTAACTGCCTGCCTATTACCTCATGTACTGTCTGTCTGCTTACCTGTACCTGCCTGTAAGCTATCTAATTTGGTCCAATCCCTGAGGCCCTGCATAACCAGCTGTGAGATATTTACACATCCAACAAACACAGAACAACATTAGCATTTATTTGGAGTTGTTTCTGGCCTCATGACAAATGTCTGTCCAACACTACACTCTTTTAACCCTATTTTTATTATCTGGTTGCTAATTGTCCACTAACAGGGGTTTTCCATTAGCACTCTGTGGTTTGAAGTTTAGTTTTCCTCCTGTGTCCCTGTTTGTACTTTCAGATGACTTTATTTTACTGTGTCATGTTTGCTTTCAGCTTTATAGGAGTCGCGTTAAGGTCACCAGCTGCCCACTAACTGTGTCTGTCTGCCATTTGATGCTGGGCAGGTAGTGGACAGCAGGTTTTTATGCATTTTTTTTTGCTGAAAACAGTTGCCTGCTGTGGCTGAAAACAATGCTACAAGAGTTGTCAGCTTTTCAGAAATACTGTGACCCACTACAAGAAAACAAAAGCTTATGGAGGAGAGGGGGGCAGGACTTCAGCTCTGTATTATTAGTCATCTGACTCACCTGGTTGTAAAAGAGTATTCTGGAAATGTTCTCAGGAGCTTTGGCATGTGGCTTGCTTTTCGTAAACATCTCGCTTTCTGTGCAATTCATTACCTACTGAACTAGGGAATGTTCTGAGACACGGGACTCACATTTGCACCCCTCTGGCCTCCACCTCCTGGTTGTCCTGCAGGACCCTGGGTAACACCACAGAAGACAAGACATTAATGGAATTGCATAGTCTGACTTCCTGATATTCTTAATATCAACATGATTTGAAACCCTCTACTCACTTTCTTGCCCTTCTCTCCTGCAGCTCCAAGTACACCAGGAAATCCATCAGAACCCTGAGGAGGAGGAAGGCACACACATTAATTTTGTATAAATGGTGTCTACTGTATCTGTAACATTCATTCAATCAATTATTGAATTATTTCTTTATTTTACCTTTGGCCCCTGGCGCCCTGGATATCCTGGCAGCCCAGGAACTCCCAGTTTCCCCTAAGAAGAGAGACAGTGTAAAACTTCATTCTTTAATCTTGTACAAGTTGTTTAACAATATCTAATGCCATTTTTATAGATTAGCAATCTACATGCAAACTTAGCTCTGTACCTTCTCTCCAGAAGTACCAGAAGGGCCAGCTTCTCCTTGAGGACCCAGCTGGCCTTTAAGCCCCTCAGGCCCATCTTCTCCTCTGCCACCTGCAGCTCCATTGTCTCCAACGTCTCCCTTTGCTCCCATCTCCCCTTTGGCCCCTGGGAAACCATCCTCTCCCTGCAGACAGAATTAATTGAAGGAGACATAAAGACGTCACAAAGTCGAGTTTAGAAGACAACATAAAATCACATGAAGGCAGTGAAGAACAGCATGCATACTGTAGTTGTAATGTGATATATTATATTATGAGACATCCTTACTAACACTTTTCTGTCTCTCTCACCTTTTCGCCTTTGCTTCCCTTTAATCCTCTGATTCCATCTGCTCCCTGTCAAACAGGAAAAAACAAAACAAAACAGGAAGTCAACAAGAAAAACGAAAACACATGAAATAATATCACTGACTGTTTGTGACATCTTCATGAGGTGGAAAGCATATCAAATATATAGCATGCTTTGCCATTAAGCATGAAATTCATCAGATGACAAGGCATATTTTTGCCTTCACGCCTTGCACCTATTATCTACCTTAACTCCTCGTTGTCCAGGGTATCCAACAGGCCCCTGCACTCCTAGAGGACCCTACAAATGAACAAGCACACATTAAAAGAACATTTACATTTAGGTAAATATGCTTATTTGTTTTCTTGCTGAGAGTTAGATGAGAAGATTGATACCACTCTCATATCTGTCTGCTGAATATGCCACTACAGCCAGCAGCCTTTTAGCTTAGCTTAGCACAAAGACTGGAAACAGGGGGAAACAGCCTACCAGCACCTATAAAACTCACTAATTAACACGTTATATCAAAATGTAAAATCAAAAAAAAAAAGGGGGCTGGGAGCACTTGGCAAGAAGGCAAGTAAGCATACTTTATAAAATGTCAACCTGCACCATGACACCTTCTAGTTAACTGTGACACAACAGTAACACAACATGCACTGCACACAAACACAGATAAATGCATCCAGAAGACCTACCGGCAGTCCTTTTTCACCTGGAGTACCTTCTCTTCCAGGGTGCCCCTATTGACAAGAGGACATGTTAATATCTGTAGCAAGGCACATAGTTGTGATGTTAAGGTTCGGATTAGGGACTAGGTAATGCATTATGTCAATAAAAGTCCTCAGACATACATGAGCTAAAACACACATGTACTTACTGGAGGCCCGTCGTTTCCAGGTAAGCCCTGCATGCCTTTCTTCCCTTGAGGCCCCTGTGAGACAATAGTCAATCAATCAATTCCGACTCCTCCAGCCCACAGTGTAAAATCCAACTATAAGAGTCTTACCTTCTCTCCTGGCAACCCTACTAACCCCTGAGGACCAGGAAAACCCTGTAGGAGAGGTTAAGAATGAGTATATCTGTGTATGCTTTTACGCAACTGACTTTTTTTCTGTTCCATGCTCATACCACGATTCCAGGGTTGCCTTGTTGTCCAGGTGCTCCGACATCCCCCAGGGCTCCCTGTTACAGACAGGATATTATGTCATGGGAAGTAACTTGTTATCAGGCACTGCTCTCTACTACCTTTATTATACTCACTATGTTTCCCTTTGAACCTTGAACGCCGTCAATTCCTCGAATGCCCTGTGAGGAGAGAAAGGAAGACGGTTAATAAAAGGGACTCTTCTGGTTTCTCTTCTGTGTCCTCGAGTGCACTCGTGTGCCCTCCATAGCAAAACAACCTGGAAAGCACAGGAGCTTTTTAAAGGTCCAGTGTGTAATATTTAGGAGGATCTACTGGCAGAAATGGAATATAATATTCATAGGTATGTTTTCATTAGTGTATAATCACCGGATAATTAGATTATTTTATGTTTTTGTTCCCTAAGAATGACCCTTTAATATCTATAGACCCAATAGGTTGCCTCCCAAGGAGGCCGCCATGTTGAACCGGCAAGTTTCTACAGTAGCCCAGAACGGACAAAACAAACACTGACACTACACAGGGCTGTTCATGTTTTTGTCTTTTTGCTGCCACTGTAGTTTTTCAATCGCGTTTGGAAGGGCTGGGCGAAGTGAGAGAGTTGCAACAACACCGCTAGATGCCACTATATGCTACACACTGGTCCTTTAATACAAAAAAAAGGACGGACACTGAAGGAGAGTGTATGGAGACTGAGCTGTATACTGCATATATTCATTCTCTTGAATGGGGCTTATTTTCTGGCTGTGGCTTTTTCTGTCACACTAACCCACTATTTCTTCTTTAATTAATGACTAAAGAATAGATTAAAGGAAGGTACATTCCCTACTATGTTTAATTTTTAAATTTCCCTTAGACTTGTTACATGAGCCTCCGGGGACAACAGCTAAATAAAACAGAAAATCAGCCCCTCCGTTGGTTTTGGCTCTAGTACCCCCTGGCTTGAGGCATGCTTCATTAATCAACACCAAGCATAAATATGTTTTTAAAAATGAAAAGTGTTTCCACTGTGTGCTATCTGAGGCTTACAAGTCCTAACTTGTTTTTGTACAAGTGCAAACATACCGTAATGTATACAGACATAGAAACCGCTTTAGGTGTCGTATGTAAGTTGTATTTGGCAGAGAGATGGTAATTTTCTCAGATAAGAATTGCATAACATCATGTTAACAAATGGAGAACTACAGTAACATCATGAATAGGCATTATCATGTGGCATTATCTAATAGCGACACCACAGCTGGATTTATGTTGGTGGTGAAAAGAGCCCTATTTTAGCTGCACGGATAAATGAGGCAAGATAGCAGTGTAATTACTGATATCTAACGTCTTTTACTGTCATGAAGGGTAGAGATTAATGTGTGTGACTCTTAATGGTGTGTGTGTGTATGTGTGCGTGTGTGTGTGTGTGTGTGTGTGTGTGTGTGTGTGTGTGTGTGTGTGTGTGTGTGTGTGTGTGTGTGTGTGCAGAGGTGGTATTTATGAAAAAGTGTAAATGTCACACTCACAGGCTGGCCTGGGGGACCAGGACGACCTCTGGGGCCATTCAGACCTCTGGAGCCCTGAAACACATATCACAGTTACATATAATGAGATATTGCATGTAATTGACACTGTGTGCCTGTATACTTCACTTGTATCTCTGTGAGGACCGGTTTGAATTTTAGAGGACATTTTTGGGAAGTCTGGACATTTTGGCTAGTCCTCACAACAAAAGGGTTGTTTATGGATCAAGACTTAGTTTTAGGGTTAAGGTAAGTGGCTAGTGAATCTATCATGTTAATACATAAGTACAGGAGTGTTGTGCATGGGTATCTATTTGTGTCTGGTTGGTTAAATTAGGTATAATTAAACTGTTTATATGTGTAACTGTATCCATAAAACTCCTTGAGGGGTTATTATGGAATCAAAATCTCTCAAAGATTAAGAGCAATAAAATCTTGGTTATAATACTTGAACATTTGGGAAAATACACATATTTGTCTTCTTGCTAAGCGTTAGATGAAAACATGATACCACTCTCATGTCATTACAGTAAATCTAAGGCACAGTGTTGCTCTGTGTGTGTGTGTGTGTGTGTGTGTGTGTGTGTGTGTGTGGTAGAATAATGTGTGTATTTTTTGATTGTGTGTTGACACTTACAGCATCACCTGGTTGTCCTCTTGGTCCATGTGGCCCCTCAGACCCCTGTGGAAAACACACACATTAATACATCCAACACATACAAAAATACAAGCCTGCACAAATACTCACAATACAAAGTGACCTCTCACCCTTTCTCCTGGCTCTCCAGCTGGACCTACAGTGCCCGGCTTACCCCTGTCCCCCTGAGAAAATACACACATAGAAGTTGACAATATATATTATGATATTATTATCTGCTTACCGTCACTTATTCGTTCAGCCAGATAACTCACTTTATGTCCTTTGTTTCCAGGGAGACCTGGCAAGCCATCAAACCCTCTATCCCCCTGTGAAAAAGAGGCACAGCTGTTTATATTTTAACAAGATAGGGAAGTTGGTAAGTGAACAGTGTGACATCAGTTCTTCTTCACCTTTCCTCCAGTCTCTCCTGTCGCACCACGGCCCCCATCTGTACCAGCACGACCCTGATAAACACACACACAAACAAGCCAGACATGGTAGATTCCTCACTGAAATCCTGTAAATGTTTGGGACATTCTGTGGAATGACAACAAAATTACAGAGGATGATATTTATATTTATATATCTCAACCCTCTTAACAGAGTTAGCAGCAGAATCACTGGTCTGGAAGTTATTTTTTGATTCAGATCTGATCTGATAAGGTTGATAAGAGACTGCAGTAAATAGTCTCACCCTTTTCCCAATTCGTCCGTTCTGACCCGGGATACCTGTCAGTCCTGGAGGACCCTGGGGAGAAACAAGTGGAAAGAGAGCAGATGACCGTCGAGCTGGTTCTCAAATAAGTTCCACAAAGGTTTGAGATGTTGAGTGTGTTGCCATGACAACCAGCTGACTCACCACTGGCCCCATCTCTCCACTGGTCCCCTTCAACCCAGAGGGACCTGGTACACCCTGGGAAAAAAAAAGTTTACAACATTCAGTTGTCCAAATGAGTCTGCTTTGGGATTCATTATGTAATGTAGTACTCTAATGTTTGACTTTTCGACTACAGGACCTGTAACCTAATGTGCAGCTATTGTCATGGCTTCTACTTTCTTTCTTGCTGTACTCCCGACTGTTATGGGGGGTGACTTCCTGAACCTAATTTTTGTCACTGCTCAGAAGGTGAAGCAACAATAACAATACGATGTCACTCACCAGTGGTCCAGGTCTTCCTCTGAGGCCGAGCGGCCCTGGGGGTCCCTTCATAGCCAGCTAGAAGAGGAGGAAGGAGTCAGAAAGCGACACACAAACTGCAGAAGTTCCACATCAGCTCTATGGGTGTGTGTGAGACGGTTATATTTCACAAGTTTGTTTACCTTGGTCTGCTGAAGAATGGCCTGAGCCTGCGCCTCCTGTGCAGAAACCACAGTACCTGTCGTTGGATCACCACCTGACTGGAACTGCACACAAACACACAAGATGCTTTTAAGTCAAACTCTATACCCCACCCAGTGGCCAATATGTAGCACTGCTATTAAAGTCTAAAAAGGTGCAGATGGCCTAGATAAAGGAAAAATCTTGGAGAAAAAAAAGAAATATAACATGCCATATGGGGAACAAGGGGGCTCTGAATGGTTTGATGGCCATTGCATGTCTGGTTGAAAATTTGACTGACACTTACATAGACTACTTGTTTTATATGTGTTGTATGTGGAGCATGGTCTTACTTGCAAAGTCAAACAAATGTATCCAACAATCCTGAAACAGCCAATTTCTTAGGCACGACAGTCAAACATTCCCATTTGCCCTGAGGATCCGTTAGGGGTTAATAGGACCAAATAACTGCCATAGCAACACCAGTGCAGCTTGTAAGGCTTCAGGCAACACAGAAGTATCTTCATGTTACCGGTATGAGCATGATGTTTCCTGGAGGACCTGGTATCCCATCAGCTCCATTAAGTCCTGGTCGCCCTGGAGGGCCCTGAGAGGAGACAGAGGACAGTTATGGAGAGACACCAACATGAGGTGGAATCAGTCACACATGCAGAAAACAGAGGACAGTCCTCACCAGCTCCCCAGGGTCTCCTCGAGTTCCTACTGGTCCTGTGATTCCAGGGGGGCCTGGCTCTCCCTGCAAATAAAAATACAAAACATTACTTGAATACTGAAGAAAAATGTGTTTCAAGTTACACCTCGTGCTGCAAAATTCACTAACCTCAGGTCCTGGAGGCCCATGTGGTCCTGTAATCTGCGTTCCCTGCAGACATTTCACAGAAATTACATTTGTTGTTGTTTGGTAAAGATGTAACCATTCATACCACTGATACCAATTCAATTCAATACCCGACTTCATGTACTGCTACCAATCTCATACATAGAGCCAATACAGGATGTTTTTTAATACATTATGTTGACAGTTGTAAACTGATTTTCTGATAAGTTATTTCTTCATTTAAAAAAGTATGCATAATGTCCTGATTCACCACAACAAGCAGTCGGTCTTAAATTGTTTTCCTGATCCAAATCAGGAAATATCTGGTCAACCCTCTAACCCAGGACAACAAGTATAGATAGTCGATGGATGGAATATTTGATATTTTGAAGTAAACAAGAATTTGACCAAGCACCCGATGTCTTTCTTTGTCTACTTGGGTACAGTTTTTGATCCTCGATGCTGAGGACTGTTTCAGTCAGTATTCAAAACATTTTGAGGACCAATATCAAGCACACGTGTGGCTGTGTTTGTGTGTGTTTTCCTCACCGCTCCCAAATAGCTTGGTTCTCCTTTCTCTCCTTTCTCTGGTAAATCCTAATGAGAGGAGATGGATATTAGACATTTACATAGATGAAGCACAGAGGGTTAGTTTTTCTATTCTCTGCACATGATTCCTTTATTTATAACTGCATTAACTCTTGGTGTGTGGTAGGTTGGATGGTACCTGTGTGTTAAGAGAGAACTCCCGTTCTCTCTCCGCTGGCCCATAGCGCTCGTCGTATTCTTCCTCATACTCATACTCATTCTCATGGTTGTAATCTGTTGTGTTGTCATAGTCTTCATACTCAATGATCTGTCCAACAAACATACACAGGGACAAATAATTATGGACAGAAAAAAGACAAGAAATTCAAAAACACAAGCTCGTACTGCGGTTCTTCCTGCTGAGCCTCACCTCATACTCTGTGACATTAGGACCCGCAGTCACCGTGGAACCAGAGAGGACATCATTGAATTCACTGTAGTCAAACTCCTCATACTCCTCGGCTACTTGTCTCTTAGGCGCTCTCTCCACCTGAAGACCATAACAGAATCAAAACAGAGACAATGCATGATGTAAGCATGTGTAACATTTTGTTTATACACAGAAATAAAGATATGAGATTCACTTCTTCTACTCGTCCTGTCTGGCCGAAGCGCTGTTACTTTAAAGATATCCTCATATATATAGCCAAAAACTACATGGCACAGCCCACACATGGCACAACTACAATATAGTCTTTTTATTTTAGCTCCTTCAGGATAGCATGTTTAAGCATGACTTCATCAGCGTGTTATTAGAATACACAAACGTGTCTAAATTCCATGTTTTCCGTTGGCTTCTTCCTGCCAATTGCATTTTTTGGTGTAAAAATAAAATAACTGAGCACAATAAACCAGGAATCCTGGAGTGTTTTGAGCTGTGAGCCAGATGATAAAGCAAACAGCAGCAGCGGAAGAGGATTTGAAACCTTTCCCAGGGGTGTGGGGCATTGGCACAAAGAAGCTGGCAAACTATACTGGATCACAGTACCATGTAGTGGGTTTTACTGTGAAGAGCGAAGGATACAGAGAGAGAGAAAGAAAGTAAGAAACAGAGGGCACACTAGTGGCTTTTTATAATTTATAATTTTATTTTAAAATAAAAGTATCACAACAACAGCAAGGAAATAAACAGCTGGAGGCTACAACTAGGGGTAAGACGTGTGTGTTTGTGTCTATGTGAGATGTAGATACAATCCCCACATATTTTCAGTATAATGGCAACCAAATATTGTTAAGCTACTAAAAACTCTGCATGCAGCCCACATCGACATTTTAATTTATGTTACCCAGAGGATTTTCTAGTGTAAATATATGTCTGAATATAACTCAACATTCGTCTTTTTGTCATATCTGTCTTCCAAAATGTCCATAAATACCGGTAATAGTTTTCCTCTTACTAAATGAAGCCTCGGGGCTCCTTAACTGTTAAAACGACAGTCTGGATTTACAACATACAACACCTGAGATGCCTCACGGACAGTGTGTTATGTGTGGAATGGGCCAGGTAGACTGAAAGATTATCAGGATCCCTTTGCTCTTTCTATATTCAAGCTGACATGTGGTTAAACTCTCTCTCTCTGCCATCTGTGATTGGCTGTAAGAAGGGGACTTACCTCCTCAGCCTCTGTTAATATGTTGTTGTAGGGCAAAGGTGCATAACAGTCTGGGATGTAGTCCTGACAATAAGTCTCTGCTGCTCTGGGATCATCAACGATCAGCAGCTGCTGGATGTCTCCCTGTGTCACGATAAAACACACACACACACACACACACACACACACACACACACACACACACACACACAACTGAGCAAATCTGTGACTCTACATGGAACACACATAAAGTGACATCACTGGTCCTCATTGTACAATATGTCACTCATTACACAAATGACAAGTCATATGCATCTGTCTCCCTTGTCTTTATCTTTGACTGTATGTGTTCATTTAGCCAGATCAAAGTGACTTAACAGGCTGTTTTTATCGTTGCTCTGCACTTAATCGTCTCCAGAGCTTCGGTCTCAAGTGGCGCCAGCACATTAAGTCCAGAGACAGACACAAACTCTTTCTCCCTCTTACACATCCTCACATATGGAGGGGAGTCCAAGCCAAACATGGCCAGGGAGTTGTTCAGTTAAACAGATGGACCACCTGACATTACACTGAAAACAAAGGTCAAAGTTCACACTTCAGATCTGTCAAAATGACCTCACATTGCTGAGGACACAACAGGAACAGAACTCATTAAAGATTTTACACAGCTACAGATTTAGAAAGGATTTTTCCAGTGTTTTTTTTTTTGGAAAAAGTTCAAGACAGTCGTCAGAGAATATACTGATGTTAAAATGCATCTTTGTGCCCAATTATTTGTCATAGATTTTATCTGAGAATACATCCAAATCATCTGTGGCTTTGCTATACATCTTCTGAGCAGTAGAAAAGGTGTAGTACATCCTCACAGCCACTGGAGGGCAGTGTAGGGAGAAGAGCCTTTCTGTTAATTCATTTGTCACCATTTGATTAAGAAATCAAACAAGCAGCAACAAGCAGCAAAACGTACTTACGACACACAAGGAACTTATTGTGTGTTCTCATTATTGTTTCTTTTTTTAGTTTTAAAATGATTTTACACTTCACAAGGTGGATGGTGTGGAGGCTCTTTTCTTTAATATGTATAACAGTGAGACAGATTCACCTCAGTTCACATCATTTTTTGTCTTTAACTCCCCCATGTATTATTCCATGATGCAGTATCCAGAGAGTGCACACACAGTCCTACCTCAAACACGTCTTCATCCAGCAGTCGTGTCCCAAATACAGTAACCCCCTCAGTGCTGACGTGGGGGTCATAACCTCTGAGCAGGTCCAGGGTGTCCAGTTTGACACAGTCCAGGTAGAGAGTCACTGACTGGCCCTCCACACTGTAGGCTACTCTGTGCCACCTGGGAGGAAGGAGAGAGGAAGAAATTATCTTCCCACTTTTCTGAGAAGCTTTTGTATTTTTAGAATCCAGCCAAACATTTATGTCAAAATTTCAATGCAAGGCAAACACAAAAGTGTGTGTATGGCTGCCTGTGTGTGTGTGTGTGTGTGTGTGTGTGTGTGTGTGTAGTTACCCACTTGCCATCAGCCAGGTTGATCTTTCTAAAGGTGGGGTAAAGTTCTGGAGGTGGCTGACCCTCATGGTCCTCATACAGGAAGACAGGAGAACGGCCGACCTCCACACCCAGCTGCTGCGTGCCCTGAGAGACACGTGGGATGAAAGGAGAGAGGGATGATGGGAAAATATCCAGCAAGTGAATATTCTGTGTAATGGGATATTGTATTTATATAATATTTACGTATAACTGTAATATTAATGCACAGTCTCAATGAAGACTTTATACAATTATAATTTCAAAAAGTTTTTGGGCAAATCTTTAACAAAATCTAGCAAAGCTGACAAAACATATTCCCATTTTGAGGACAACATGTGATGCTGATCCCAGTAGGAGTGTCTCCTGCAGGGTGCATGTTATGATTGGTAGGGATGTTTTTTTTCTGCTCAAGGTCAGTCTGACAGTTTGGTATGGTGGATAAGTTTGCTAAATTTGTTGATTTAATATTTAATTTACGGCAGTGTCGTTACACATTCAGCACAATTAGTAAAGGTTTGGTTTCAACATCCTGATGTGGCGTGTATGATACGTACCTGCGAGTCGTACAGGGAGAGGAGAAAGACCTGTGAGCCCTTGACAGCTCTAACTGTTGTCATCACTGAGAAATTCATAGGGAATGATGAATCTGAAGGGAATGCACACATACACATTAGACCTCTCTCAATGACCAAACATATTCATACCCACACTTCAGATGAGTCTGACTGAACATACAAGGAAATAGTTGCTTGGTGGGCGCGCTCAGTTGAATCTTCTTGTCGATCTTATAGGAGAGGTCCGTTTCCTCTCGTCCCTCCCTGCTGGTGCACAGTCCTGACTCCAACGACACGCCCTCCATGTTCTCAGACAGCTCCAGGACCTTCAGGACATCAATAGGATCAGCTGCAAAGACAGAGGGGATTGGTGGGTTTGATGATCAGCTGATCTGCTGTTGCTCATCATGGAGTTCACCTGGCCAGCACCTTTTTTTGTGAGGGTATCTATGTTTGCACAGAGCAATTCCTTAAGTGATTAAGCTACTGACAAAAAAAATTCAAGTTTATTGCCCTGTCAGACCCAAAACTGACCTGTGCAGGTTTCTCCACAGTGATTTGCTCTGCTTCCAGCAGCAAGAGTCAGACTTAAGCTGCAGCAGTTAAAAAGAGTAAAATCTGTGGTTGTTCATCATCATTCTCCGTCAATTTTTATTTATTTATGTGTGTTTTATTCAATCTCTTTGTAAATCTCTTTTTAAATGAATGTGCTCTATAAATAAACTTGACTTGACTTTTCTGCCGCTGAGTTTCTTGCTTGAAAGAGCCTTTAGTCTGCACTTCCTTGGCCAGCCATCTGTCTGAGGCTTTACAGAGCACCTGTGGGAGCCTTACATCACCACAACAGGAGCAGCGACCATTTGTCATAAGGCAGAAAACTAGAAACAATCTCTTAGTCCAACACATCCGCAGCCTCACTTCCAACAGCATGCACACAACATATAAAGAGTTAAAAGCAAATGAGTAAAAGTTTGTTTTTAATTTGCTTCTTAACGATATTGTTGGATTGACATAATTGAATAAAAGCCGGGATGGGAGTTCCACCATTCTGGCTTGGCCACTGACTTTTTCACCATATGACTTTTTGTTTGACTGAAAGATACGACACAGGGAAGTATAGAGAAGAAATAAAGGCTTACAAAGGGATCAGAGGGTCTGTAAGCTTTGTAATAATTGTCTGGGAGATAATTATTTGAATATGAGGATAAGGAGGATAATAATAGGAAAACGTATTGTTTAAATCGTCCATCTACGGTTAAATACATTTTGTTATTACATTACGTGCCTTCTTGGAGACTACATTACTTATGTTGTACTTCGATTGCACAGTTTGTACTCTGTGGTCTTGAGTCATTCTAAAATCAGAGTTGCAGTGGTTGAAACATGATGACAGGGGTGTGATGATTTGTGTCATCATCATTACCTATAGGCAACAAGTGCATTATCTGTTCATCAGGATACATCAGAGTCTATTATCACACTTACACCATGGCCACTTACCACAGGCAAAGAACTATTTCTTCAGACAGAGTTTAACTTAAAGCAGATGTGCTGTTCCTATGGTTACCTTTGATTTAACATACTTTGCTTGCTGAGTCTGAACAGTGTTGAACCAAAACTGCACCAATCAACATTGTTTATAAGAGATCAAACTCTACAGAGCTTTTTAGACTCTTGGGGCTTTGGGTTTTCGCACTCAAAACCCTGTTGTCAGCCTCTTTTCCAGGTGTTTTCAGCAAACACTGATAAACCCCACTACACATTGTCTACCTAACACCAAAGAGTAGACAATGTAATTGACTAGCTGATGAAGAAGGAAAAACAAGGATTTTCCTTAGCAGTAGTATAAATATGCAAACAAACTGACAACTCTCTGTAAATGTAACTGTTTGTTTTTGTGTGATGTTACCTCTGAGACATGTGGGCGATGCCAGCCGTATAATTAAGCTACCTTGTAAACAAACTAATGAAATACTTTATCAGTCAGACCATCTCTGTCGTTCTGTTTCTCTTTCTAGGACGCATATTTGTTGCAGAAGCTTGGTGTCATCACATAATGATGCCAATATTGGCAGTGACACATGCAACAGTCTGACTGATACCAGGAGGACAATAAAGAATACATGTGTTCGGCTGGGGAGCGCACACACAGACACACACACTGACACACACACACAGAAACACAAAAAGCAAAACATTTTGGAAATGTAAAGATGCGGCCAGACTTGTAGCTTTTGCAGATATTATATGCACTCACACATTCCTTTGAACACAATGGTCACAAAGATCTGTGAGACGGACTAAGCAGAAAAAGATGGGATGAAAAAGACGAGAGTGGGGGAGAGACAGGAGAGAAATGTGCAATATGCTAAAAGTGAAAAGGGAGAGAAGGGGGTAAAGAGAGGAAATAATAGATAGCAGGGGAGAGGAGGGCATGCCTCTACTGGTATGGCTTCTTTTCACACGTATTTCTGGGGCTTACGTAAACCCTCCATCTGCCTTGCACCTTTCAACAAGCAGTTACACACACACAAACACATGCATGTGTGTGTGTGTGCACACAAGAGGTTGGCATAATGTCTGAGTCTGAGCGCCAGATGTATTTGAAGCCCATTTTTTCAGTTTGTCCATCTGTCTGTCTGCCAGCCTGCCTGCTGGCACTCTGTCAGCTTGTCATTCTGTCTTTCATGTGCAGGGCATCATGTTATTTACAGATACAGCTAAATACTGTGTTATTAAAACTGCCAGAGATTTTTGTTGCTTTAATGTGCTGAGAAATATCTGTAAAAAGCTGACATTTAGGAGTTTGGTTTTCAGTGATTTGTGCTCCGACTGCCCACAGCAGCTTTGGTGTTGATGATGTCATGCACAACACAAAACATAGTCCAGAAACTGACCAGAAAAATAGAAACACCTGTACAATGACATGCACTGCAATGCAACAGCCCTGCAGCGTGAATACCTTGCTTACAGTTAGTCACTGTTTGAAGCTGCATGTTGTGGTTGTGGCTAGATGTTTCTCCCTGCTTCCAGTGTTTATGCTAAACTAAGCTAATCAGCTGCAGCTTCATATTTACCATACAGACAGACAGGTGGTATCAATCAACCCGTCTAACTCTCAACAAGAAGATGAATAAGCCTGTTTTCTAAAATGTCAAACTTTTTCTTTAAAATCCTCCTGTCGACGTTTATATCAGAAGTCTTTTACCATAAACACATTTTCACTGAACTAAATGCTACATGTGTACATGTTTTCCTACTCAGTGACCCTGTGCGTTTAGTATGATTTTGGTTTTATTATTTCTGGTCAAATGTTAGCATGACTACCTGTTAACATGCTTTCCTTAAAGCCATATTTAGGCTACAAGGTAACTCCTGGTGAGCCATGGTTAGACTTAAGGTGACACTGCTCCTGACACTCATAAGCAGTGTGAACAAGCAGAGGGGTTTCAGTCATACATACCAAGAAATGATCGGCAGCGCTGACATCTGAATGCAGCAGAGGACAAGATGAGACACGGAAACTTTGCTCTTAGTCTATAGGCCCTTCGACAACATCAAGTAATGTTTCCTTATATTGTTGATGCCTGAGTATGTACAAGCACAAAACAATAGCCACAGGATATGCAAGTGTTGCACACACACACACACACACACACACACATACAGGTAGTGTGCTGTACATAAACAGGAGGGTGTTCTGGTCTCCATCAGTTGCTGGCGTTATCCTGAGGCTCTAAACTGTGGTGTGAGGGGCACCATGATCAACATGCACACACATGCAGAGCATGTCAAATATAAGCCTAAACATAAAGCAGAGCCACTGTAGTTTGAACAGAAAGATCCACAAGAATGAACTATTCAGCTACAACAGTGAAACAGAATGATAGATGGAAGATTAATGGAGTTGGGAGTTGACAGATGACATCCACAAATGGATTAATCTCTATAAACAGATATCTGCATATGAACGCACATAAATAGAAAAGCCAATAAAAATTAATCGTCATCATTCATGTGCAGATATCTGTTTATAAAACATTCAGACCAATCTCCACACACTCACCACAGACCACATATACAGAAACTATTTTGTTGAAATGTGTTTTATGTTTACTCGTTATGCCAGTAACATATTAGTTAGTAAAAGTATTAGTTAGTTTTATTACTACATACAAAACCTCATTAAAAAAGTATCAAATAGATCTTCTGTTGATCGCTATGAAGCTCTAATGGCTTTGAGTAACTGATAAAAGACTTCCACCTGACAGAAAAGAGTCATCTTTATATTCAATAGTATTTCCATGCATATGCGTCTCCTACTTCCCTGCAAGTGTTGATGTCATGTACTAGTTTTTTTTAAAACATAGAATCAAGAAAGAGTGGGGTAGTTGTGATAATATGATGTGCTAATTGTTTTATTGTTTGGGACCACTTGCGTGTAATTACACGTGTATCACCCGGTGTTCATCAAGTTAAAGCTTTTATTTATCCATTTCATTTTGCACACTTGGGGCAATCAGAGTTCTCCCAGCCGGCTAACTGTCAGCCTGTAACCAGACTTTATTTGGCAAACAGGCTGACAAAAAAGTGAAGCAGTAAAGTGTAAGTGGAGGTGGAGGTCACTGTCTTTTATCAGAGATCCAGCTCTGGTTAAGGTTCCACATTTATACATACACCACACAAAAGTAAGTGGAGCAGTGAAGCACAGACACAAACCAACACACTGACAATCCAATGGGCACCCTATTAAAGACTATGGATTTTCTGGAAGCCAGATGTGTGTCTGTGTTTGTGTGCGTGTGCGTGTATGTTGAAGACTGAAGTGCTTTTTTGTGTACGTGTGGTTGTATGTATGTGTTTGTGATTAGTCTGTCATTAACTCAGTAATGGTGAAGAATGCAATAACATGCCTTTTTGCAGAAACAAGAACTAATATTTAGTTGAGCCTCCTACCCTGCACTAAAACACACAGACACACAAACAGACACCACACCGGGGGTTCAAATCCCCCACAGAGGATTTGCCCCAGGAGGCTGTCATTACAGTCATTACCTCTTTTACTCTCTTTCTCCTGCACACTTTAGTTCTGCTGCTTTTCTCAAACGTCCCTCACAGACATCTGACATGTCTCTCCTCAGAGGAGAATGATAAAACGAGGGAGATGAAAACCAGAGAGAAGAAGAGAGAAGGAGAAAGAGTGCAGAAGAAAGAATAGGATGGAGCGACTATATGTTTTCTTTCCTCCCAGTTCAGCTGGCTGTAATCAAAGAAACAGTGGATAACCTATCCTGCTGTCTAATACACACAGACACACACACACACACACATGCATTTACTTAGATGAAT